TATATATATAGTCTTTTTTCTAGGAGTGATGTTTATAATTGAAATTGAGACACTTATTGACCCTCTAATTAAAACTAAGACAAATGAGTCATGAAGATTTAAATTGAAAACAAACTTTATTGTCTAAATGAGCAGCAACCTCTGAACGCCAAAAGCCTTCCATCCACTGTGACATTAGGGCCTAAAGCAGTGGAGGATGCTCAACTCGTCCCATATTGTCCCAATATCTGCCAGTTTGTCTGCTTCCTGTCTCACAGCTCAGAGAAAATATAAAAAGTCTCCAGAAACATTGTGGCATGAAATATTGTCCTGCCTTTCTCTGCATCTCACAGATTATTTGTTGATTAATCCTTTGACTTGCAGACCCCAGCCAGGATGAGGACCCCGTCATATGCTAAATGCATTTTATTCATTTCTTTCCACTTCTCCCCAGAAAACACACCTTCATGATAGATCAGTCACTTCAAGAATGATTTTCTGTATGGATCTGGGCATGAGTAGCTCAAAGACTGACTTGATGTCTGTGACACACGAGTTACTGCCATCCTAACAGGCCCTAATAGGCCTGTAAAGTGTTAACATTATGTTCATTTTTTATTTTTGCTGATTATCTTTTTTAAGAACTAACAAACCAGGCGAGCGCGCGCACACACACGTGTTATATTCATTCAGTCATTACTCATAGATATACAGTATTTCAGTGTGTATTTCCTCATGATTGTGTAGTCTACAGAACTAAACCGAGATACCATTTAAAGGCATGATCACGTTTAATCACTTGTGAAATGATGTGTCATTGTGTATTGCTTTTTCCACTATGTAATACATCATTTGTTTAAGGTTTATTGTTGTTAAAAGAGGACCGTCACCACGCAGATGGGCGGCTCCCCTTGTGGAAAATATGAAATATGAGCCCCACCCACTGCCTTTACAACACAGGTCCTGTGAACTTCAGGAAGAGAGTACAAGAAGATTAAAAGTAAGTGCGTTTACAAATAAATATAAATAAAATACTCAAAACCAGATTCTGCTTGAGAACACACTGAATGTCTTGATTTGATGTTTCTTGGTGTGGAGTGGTTTTGTCGTAGTTTTCGTGCAACTCCGGTGGCGTTTTTTTAACTTTGAGCTAACCCATTTAGCTGGCTAACATTACTGAGAAACAGAAGCTGCGGTGCTGGTTCCGTTTCTGTTCTGTTCGGTACTTTATGGAACCATGTTCTAAAGGCTGGACGGGTTCAAAGGTGCCCAGGAGTGCCACGTCTGGTAAACAACAGAGGTCGGACAGTTAGCTGTCGAAGTGAAGGCCTGAAGCACCGTTTGTAGCTAGGCCTCCGTCAAAGCTAACATATGTTCAATTAATGGTCGAGAAATGTATGTTTTTTTATTTAATCTTTAATTATTTATTTAAAGTTATTTTTTAATCTAAAAGACGTGGCTTTATTTAGCTTACACCCGACCTAGCTGTCACTAACATTTGGACTGAGTGAACTGGAGCTGTTTTCTAAGAATACCCTTAAGGAATGCTGTATTTGTTTTTACTTTTATTTGTCTTTCATAACTCTTGACATAAAGAACTTGTCATGTAGTTAAGTGTTGTGAAAGATGTAATAATATGCATATACTTGTGCAAGTCACATAAGTTTATTGGAACATTAGATAAAAGACTATAATTAAAAATTGACTCCGCTTGAGTGCTTCTGGGATTCAATAATAAAGTAAACATGGGAAAAATAAAAAATCTATCAATATGCACATTATCCCATCTCATTTGACTGCTGTATTCTTGAGGATAAGTTTACTCTTTGGGCTCAGTCAAACTCAGTGACTTATCTTTTATTATGACATGCAAAACAACAAGAATGTTCCACTGATGTCAGTTTATGGATCAGTTTAGCTAATCATAGAGCAAACTTTTCATATTAAACATATGGGAACTAGATTTAACAAAAAGTAGAAACTAGTTATCAACTAGACATGGGTTTTTACGATGTAAAAACAAGTGTGCATTGCCATGTAGCATGGCTTTGCCTGCAGCATTGGACTTGCAGAATGAACTTTGACCAAGTTCAAATGTGTTTTCTATACCAGCTTGTGCCTGTCACATCAGCAGGTGTTTTTAATTAAGGTAATTGTGTGACATATGAAATTTGAAGAGATTTTTTGTTAAAGTTGCATTAGCTGGATTTTGAATCCTGATCTCCCACATGAAAGTCCATGACATAGACCATCAGACCAATGGAGCTGTGGCAGAAGATGGCGGCAGGGGTTGGTTTGTATGTGTGCAGAAAGAGGCCACATTGCCAATACAATTATTGACACAAAAATGCATAATATTACAACAATCGAGCAGTACATCAAAATACAATCATATTAGTATTGTAAACACTGAACTACTGAGTTGAAATATTAAACTATGGTGCAGTACCAACTTGAGTACAGCAGGGGGCAGTATTGGACCAATACAAGGCTCCATTGACTGCCATTATAATTCATTAAACATTAATATTTCATAAACTATAAGTTTTACAGGCACCAAAAGGCATAGCCATCATTTGGCACAGGGGCTTTACAGATATAAATTACAATGACAGCTATAGGACAAAGTATGCAGGAGGAGAAGCATGGCAAAGTTGAGATGACTTGGATGGGAAACAAATCACAATAGTGTGCATTGCATTGGCAATGCACACTGATTATTATTTGGATCTAAACTTCATCAACATTGTTGTTCCATCCATCCATTTTCTTGACCCATTTCTCTATTCCGTGTGGCGGGAAGCTGTCAGTGTGAGAGAGGCGAGGTCCATCACAGGGCCACCTAAGACAAAACAACGTTGGGAGAAAACATGAAAAACAGCCCAGCCCAAGGCTGAGAAGTGTTCCTGTGACCTGACTGAGAGGCAACAACTTAACCACTGCACACCGCGCTGCTCGCTTTACCCTTTAAAGAGTTCATATAGCCTGTAGATTCTGTTTAAAAAAAGAGTGAAAGCAGGTTCAATGCAGGGTGTGTTTTCCCCCTTTTGTTGTTATGTCATCATGCTTTCAGTGTTCCATAAACATCAATGATGGATTCTTTTAATTATTGCAAACAAACTTTTTTTCCACAGTAGCTCCATGAAATGGTTATCATGTTTCACATGTTGAATTATGTTTGACAGCTATTTTATTAAAGGTTCTGTTTTTAATGTTTAAAAGCAATGAGCTACCCTGGATACCCGCCTCAGCCAGGCACATACCCACCACAACCTGGGATGTACCCTCCACAGCCGGGTACTTACCCACCCCAAGCAGGAGGCTATCCACCTCAATCTGGTGCCTATCCTCCTCAACCCGGTGCTTATCCTCCTCAACCCGGTGCCTATCCTCCTCAACCCGGTGCCTATCCTCCTCAACCCGGTGCCTATCCTCCACAGTCTGGTGCCTATCCTCCAGCACCACCTCCAGGTAAGTCACTCTCAAATGGTAACATGTGTATTTAGTGCTGGTCTGTTGAGATTTTGAATCTACAAGTCGCATTCTTTTCATTGTAAAGTAAATAAAATCTTGAGATTTCCTTAAAATTGGATAAAGCTTGCATAAAAATACATTTTGTGTAAAAACTGAATGTTCCTATTTGGCTCTTGTTTATTTTTTTTCACTGTAATCGTCTTGTCAGCTTTTGCTAGGCAAGAATTGAAAAACCAAGTTACAACATGTTAAAGTGCTAGCAGGTAGATTTTGTAACCGTTTGACAAACCATAAATGTCTTTTTCTCATCTGTCGCTTATGTTAAGTCAGACTAGAAGCTGTTGCTCAGTGTTTACCACACAGACACAATAGGTTTGACGTTTTCATCACATTTTCAAAGGGAAAGTGTTTAGCTGCATCTTCTTTAAAATATTATTCAACAATCTAAGTATATCTGTGCAAAGATTTAAAAAGTGAGTTGGGATTTTTAGACAACGAAGACAAGATTGTGAACTTACTGGATTCTTTTCCCCCTCAAAAATAACCATGTCTGCTATTGTTAAGGGAAATGTTGACAAACCATGGATGACGAATGGGTTAAGGAATGCTTGTAAAAAAGAATTACTTGTATTCCTGTTTTTTTTAAATTGAGAACAAAAGAATCAGAGGAGAGATACAAGAAATATAAAAGCAAGTTGGTTTGGATTATAAGAAAACATAAGAAGGAACATTACAGTGATTTATTAGACAAAAGTAATTGTGATATGAGGGCAACATGGCAAATAATGAATAGTGTTTTGAAAAATCATAAAACATCTTCAGGTATTTCAAATTATTTTGTAAAGACGACAAGGACATATATGATCAAAATCAAATAGTGAATGAATTTAGTCAGTACTATGCAAACGTTGGCCCAAGTCTTGCATCAAAAATACCAAAAGTACACAATAACATAAGTCATACAGTCATGGGTTGTGTCAACAGCATCTTTCTTGATGAAACTGATAAGGGAGAAATATGGAGTATTGTAAATAAAAAACCTTGCAGATAAAAGATCAAAAGACTGGATGGACATGGAAATGTTTGTGAAGGACATCATTGATTGTGTTTTAGAGCCATTTACCTGTAATTTATCATTTTCTACTGGAATTTTTCCAGACAACATGAAAATAGCCAAAGTAATCCATCTCTATAAGAGTGATGAAAAATGCGCATTTAATAACTATAGACCAATATCTTTGTTACCACAGTTTTCAGTGATTTTAGAGAAATTATTTGTGGATAGATTGGATCAATTTATCGATGAACAGAATATTTGAAGTAGCAGTCAATATGGTTTCAGAGCAAATAACTCTACTTCAATGGCTCTTATGGATGGAACAAATAACTGCTGTTGACCAAAAACAATACTGTGCTAGTACAGATAAATGAAGTCAGATCTGAACTCTGTAACATTATGTGTGGAGTTCCTCAGGGTTCTGTACTCAGACCAAAATTATTCATTTTAGATGTGAGTGAATTGGTTAATGTGTCAGGGTTGTTTAAATGTATTTTATTTGCAGATGATACCACATTTTTTGTTCAGGTAAAGACATAGATGGAAATTATGCAAGCAGAATTTGTGAAAATACAAAATTGGTTTAAACTTAATAAATTATCATTAAATTTAGATAAAACAAACTACATGATATTCAGTAACAGAAAGGGAAATATTGATGTTCCATTTAGAGTTGATGGTGTTGAGATCTGTAGAGTCAGTGAGGTAAAGTTTCTGGGTGTTATTATTGATGAAAAGTTGTCATGGAGACCTCACATAAATTATCTAAGAACATAAATTGCTAAATCTATTGGAGTACTGTATAAAGTAAGGGAGTTATTTAATGATAGAGCTCTGTATATGTTGTATAATGTAATGGTTGTTCCACACTTAATTTATTGTGGTGATGTCTGGGGGAAAGCATGGAAAACAATTTTAAACCCTATTTTTGTTTTACAGAAAAGAGCTATGAAAATTATCACTAGACAACACTACAGTCACCCATCAAATGTATTATTTCATCAGTTGAAATTATTGAAGTTCTATGAGTTGGTTGATTCATAATATTTTACAGGTTATATATAAGGCTCACAAATGCATATTACCTTTTAAACAACCAATTAAATTTTGTTAAGAGAAAGTTGTTATAATCTGAATGGGGTATAGATGTTTGTGAAACCTGGATTTCAAACTAGTTTGAGGGAGCGGTGTACTTCAATAAAAGGAATAAGACTTTAACAATCTGGAGAGTGATGTCAAAAATGCCAGATCAATGTTTAAGAGAATGATAAAAGTCACTTTGTTAAAGAAATATGAAACAATATAATGTGTATTCATACAAAATTGTGTTCAAGGATTTGAGGTTGTTTTTGTTTAGTTTTTCTTTTTTGTAGATTATTGTTAGAAATTTTTAATTTTGGGAAGAAAAAGGCGCAGATACTATAAGATTTTTTTCTTCTTTCTGCCACCTTTCATTTTATTTGTGATTTGTATTTTTATTGTATATAAATTTTAGTTATTTTTAAAGAAATGAATAAAGTTTGAAAAAATAAAATTAAAAAAATAATAATAATTTCCATAGTTTATCGTCCACATACTGCTTCCATTCTCTGTCCAGCTTGCTTTACTTAGTGGAACCTAAATATATACAATAAAATAGTCATGTCTCAGTCAGTTACTTTTAGCATTTTCATTGTTTTTAATTTCTGCTGCAGGCAGCTGGGGAGGTGGCCCTGTTGGTGGATACCCCTCCTCTGGATTTGACAACTTTTCCAATCCCGGTTTCAATGCTGGCATGGTAAGTTTGACACTGGAACATCACCAGTACCTGAGAAGTTCAGAATACATCTGCAATGCCTTATCATTGGATTATTGCACTAAATATTACAGTTAAAATAAGTTATACAGCCTCAGTGGAGTATTGTGTTCATTGACTTTACGGTAAGAATTTTCCAAAGTTCACATCCTAAAATCTTCCGCATTGCAGTTTTCTCTATCGGCTTAATTGTGAAGTTCTTCTGCATGAAAACCATTCTTGTGCTTAAGCCTTGTCTGTGCATTTAATCTTTCGCTCCTTATTTCTATTTGTAGTCTCTTTTTGTGTGTTTTCACATTTTTGAAATAAGATAAGATGTATTTTGCATCGCGCCATTTTGATTGAAGTAAAAAAATAATAATTATTGAACACATTCAATAAACTAAAACCATTCAACCAGCTACGCGTGCTTTGCCTAAAATAATCACAACACATTTGAAACTATTTTATAAAATGCAGATGTTTCCTAATCACAGGCCAACCAGAGCTTTGGAGCTATGGGGGCTTATCCTTCAAGTGCCTGGGGGTACCCACCTGCTCTGCAAGCTGGTGCCCTCTATCCTAACCTAGAATCATATGGCCTGTACCCACAGCCAGGGGGGGGCATGCCCCAACAACAACAACAACAATGGCCTGGGATGGGCTACCCTGGTCAGCCTGGTCAGCCTGGTCAGCCAATGCCTGGATACCCCGGTGCACCATCACCCAACCCACCGATGCCTGGCTACGGAGGAGCACCAGCACCGACACCAGCATACCCGCAGGTCCCATCACCAAACCCATCAATGCCAGCCCATGGAGGTGGAGCCATGCCAGTAAACCCACCTATCAATGTAAGAGACAATATCTGCCTGCTATGTCATTGTGTCGAAACACTGTTGTAAGAGAAAATAATATATTTTTATCTCAGAGAGGATTCAGGGGAACGATCAGGGACTTTCCTGGAGCCGACCCACTTAAAGATGTGGAGGTCCTGAGAAAGGCCATGAAGGGCTTTGGTAAGTGTTATTGGGGGTGGGGATCATCAGGCTGTACTGATTCGTGAAGTATCCTGTCAGTCTGTGAGGAACCCTTGCTTCAGATTATTGTGTGTAAAATTGTTTTCTTTTGTTATTGTTGTCTAAATGCCAAAATGTACATATAACCAGAAAAACCAGCTCTTATCAAAACATATTTGCATTTTCAAACTAATACTCTTGAGAGCACAAACACGTCTTGGCTAACTGAAAGCAAGGTGCAATTAAAAATTCTTCCTATTATTTTAGTCCAGTCAGTTTAAACACATTTGTCTTAAACCTCATGGTCACCATTTTGTAAATGGAAAGGAACATATTTATAAAATGAAATAATCTAATTAATCAGAGTTATCATGGTTAGGGTTAGTATTAACCTATTACATCAAGTAGTAGGGTTAATTGTATTAGTCCTTGAAAGTTTGGGATTTTCTGTGCAGGAACTGACGAGCAGGCCATAATTGAGTTACTGGGGAGCCGCTCCAACGCGCAGCGTGTACCTTTGCTCCGAGCCTACAAAACCTCTTACGGGAAGGTAACATTTTTTATTCTTGGTTACATTTGTGTTTATATAATATTTTAGCTGTAGTTTGTACCATTTCCCAATGGGCTGGAATCTACTTTTTAAAAACAGGTTACACAGTTTACAAACATTGGATCTGTGTGCGTGGTACTGTGACAAGCAGACAACAGGTGCCAGTGCTGCAGTAAAATATAGAGGGGGATTAGATGTCTTCCACCATAGCTGTGTTAGAAGTCCTTATCGTTATTCATAGCAGCAGTTTCTGAATGTTGGGAATAATTCACCTTTTTTTTCACTTTCAGGATCTGATCAAAGACCTGCATTCAGAACTGTCTGGGGACTTCAGGAAGCTGGTTATGGCCACGTTGAAGAGTCCAGCTCAGTTTGACGCCTCTGAACTCCGCGAGTCCATAAAGGTAAAATGCTCAAAAAAACACGGTGGGCAACGTGGATTTAAGGATGGATAAGGACTTGCATTTTGTTTTGTTTTTTTGTGTGCATTTCAAAAAACCTTCACTTACTACCATAAGGCCAGAGGATGAGGATAACTGGTTGATATTGTCGTGTCGTGTTCCTCACAGGGAGCTGGAACTGATGAGGCCTGTCTGATAGAGATCCTGTCCTCTCGCTCCAATGCTGAAATCAAAGAGATAAGTCGAATTTACAAACAAGGTGAGGTGCACCATAGTCACTTTTTGCTGTGTTCGCTATCTTGCATAGTTTGAAAATTGGGTTGTTAGTGGTAAACTAAAACTGAATTTAATTGCAGTAAAAGGAACATTTAGTGCAAAATCCACATTTGTTTTTAAAGTTAAATGCATTTTGTTAGATACTTGGAGCCTCTAGTAGGAGTGCAGAAGCGTTTAATTTGGTTCCACTCTGCGCTGCATAGGGTCATTTTTTTCAACCCATTCATTTTTTTATTCTCTATTATGTTTTCTGAACATTACATCAAAGTAAGTGCATTGTTTGGATGTACAGAGACGGCGTCAAAATGAGTTTATTTTGAGACACAGCTCAGAAAAGGGGTAAAATTAGGGGGAATTCAGACCAAAGCATTGCAGTTTCACTTTATATAAACCCTATCTGAATGATTTAAAGTGTATCTTACACCCCGCCCCCCCCAACCACTTGAAAAGATAACTCCGCCCCAAGGCGAAATTTGAAAAATGCATCAAAGTGGGTAGGGGGTGGGGGGGTTAGAGAGTGGAGGTGTGGCCAGGACGAGAGAACGTGACAGCTAGCATTAGCATAATTGATGCTACATGGAGAGTGACCACAGTATCGCAGATAGTTACATCTCTGAACGGTCTGAGGTGGAGGATTTTTTTCCCCCCCCTCCTCACCAGAGGCAGAGAGAGACTTGATCAAGTCAGCTCAGTCTGGGACTGACTCGTGTTGGCTCCGATCAGGACCTGGAGCTCCAGCAGCCTCGGCTGAGCTGTCCACCTCACCAGCCTCGGACAGAGGAGGTGGAGCGCTCCGCGACAGCCTGACAGAAAAAAATAAAAGCATACAGCTGCAGCTGCTCACAAGATCGCTAGTTTAAATCAGGAATAAAAGTGTTGGGTCTTGTTTGACTGAAGTTCGGTCCGTTAGGGCTGCAGCTGCCCTGCTGTGTTTCTGCCTTTTTTTCCCCTCCTCCCCTCCGGCTGTGCAGGACGTACTGCTGGTGTGTGTGTGTGTCTGTGTGTATGTGTGGGGGGGGGAGCGCAGCAGTCAGCTCTCCCCACCCGAGGCTGAAGGTCAACAGACGATCATGCTAAGCTTGCTAACTGTTCCACCCTCTGACTGCTGCAGGGGCGTGTCTTAGAGAGAGGCTTTTATACCAGAACACAGCTGCTGTGACAAAACCGTGGAGAAGACACGTCACCGTGGAAAGCCGTTAACCTATATGCAAATTAGCCTGCAGTACCACTGCTCTACCCATATGAGCAGCAAAAAGACGTTTTTAGACCAAATATTACAGATTTGAACAAATACGCACAAAAACATCAAAATTAGCACAGAAACAGTACTATATAACATTTTAGACGCATTCTAGGCAGTTTATCAGCTGAAAAAAGTTAATTTTGGGGTAAGTTACTCTTTAAATATGAAAAAGAAGAATTAAAAAGCATGCTATGTCTCCCTTAATGTGGATAACTCATTTACCCAGAACTGTAATGTTTGTAATTATCATTTTGTCAATTTCAGAATACAAGAAAACTCTAGAGGATGATATTCAAAATGATACCTCAGGCCACTTCCGCAGGCTCCTGATCGCTCTGGCTCAGGTACAGCCATGATGCAAATGATTTATCTTTGCTGCTTCTTTGTTGTCACTATGAGCCAGGATGCTGTTTTACAATAATGCTGTTTTGTGTTTTTTATTTTTTTATTTTCTTCCTGTAGGGCAATCGGGATGAGCGAGAGGCTGTTGATCTCTCCTTGGCTCAACAAGATGCTCAGGTAAAATTTAATCTCATGTCATAACTATTTCTTGTTTAAATATTCTTTAAAGCTGTAAGCAGAGTGCTGTTTGCTTCTTTGTGTTTGGATATATGATGTTATTTGCGTTTTATGTAAGTTGTATTTTTTTTTGTTAATGATTCATTCATTATTATAAATCACGAGTTACAAAAAATATATCAAGCAATAATTTCAATAAATTTCATTATATTATAATTTATAAGTAAAGTTAAGGGTTATAATTATATTCCTTTTTGTTTGTTTTTATGTTTTTGTCTCAAACAGCTGCATACTGCTGACATAAAATACAAGATTTATATTATTTAGGAATACCTAAACCTTCAATCTGATTTCATGTGCTTATTTGTTGTTCATTTCTACACAGTGAAAAGCTCAACCTGATTATTGCAAAAGTATTTTCTTATCAAATTAATAATGTTTTTTTTTTTTTTTTCCATAGGCTCTGTATGCTGCTGGGGAAAAGAAACTGGGAACTGATGAGTCCAAATTCAATGCCATTTTATGTGCAAGGAGCAAAACTCATCTCAGAACAGGTAATTAATAAATAAATAAATAGACAAACAGGTCACAAGGAAAATGAGGTGCAGATGAGACGAATGAGAAGTAAGAATGTACAACTTCAGACTTAAAACAAGGAAAAAAAATAGGTCAGATTTTTTAGTTTGAAATTGGACATACAAAGTCACATTTGTATATTTTTCTTTCAACTCTAAACTTCAGTATGTGTATTACTGATGCTGTATATGTTTGTGTTTGTGCAGTGTTTTATGAATACCAGAGGATGTGCGGCAGGGACATTGAGAGCAGTATAAGCAGAGAGATGTCTGGAGACCTTGAGAGTGGCATGTTGGCAGTCGGTAAGAATTGATTCACACATTCAGGTTTAATTCATAGGCAGCTTCTTTAGAATGAAGCAGTTACATTTTGGCTCGACTAATTAAAAATCAGAGCATTTCTTAAAGTACATGTTTGATGCAATATTTAGTCAATAAAATTAATGCATATTTTGCAGCAGTTTATTATAGCCTTTACATAATTACACTTGATATTAAATTTATCTCATCACTGTGCATAGAGGTCCTGTTAAGTACTAATCTTATGCTTTATCTCCTTTTTTTTTTTTGCAAACATTTAAGGGTTATGGTACAGTAACCAATAGTTTTGTCTTTTATTTCTTAGCCTTTTTTGTTTACTATTTAATATTTTCATTGTCAGATGGTGTGCAGTACAGTTTTTTATGTTTGTGTGTGTTGTGTGCCTTTTTGTTTGGAAATATTTGCATTCAGAGGGTTAACTAGACTTCAGGTTAAACTTTACACTATATATCTTCACTTTTTTAAACTTTTTAAATTCAAAGTAGTTTTTGTCTTATAGTTGTGTGCTTTTATTTGATGCAGTTGTGTGGCTCATTGAACACATTTGTGTATTGTGTGTGTGTATTGCTCTTTCGGTGTCACTTAGTAATGTCTCTGTTTCAGTGAAGTGCATTAAGAACACGCCTGCCTACTTTGCTGAGAGACTTCACAAGGCCATGAAGGTGGGACATAAACTTTTTTCTACATTATTTAAATAAAAACACAAACCTTTTGTTTTGTACACATATTTATATCTGTGTTCTCGTAGGGCATGGGAACTAAAGATCGAACCTTGATCCGGATCATGGTGTCCCGTTCAGAAGTAGACATACTGGATATTCGTCAAGAGTATCTTAGAAACTATGGAAAGTCGCTGTATACAGCCATCTCTGTAAGTATCTAAATTTACTGAGGAGTATTTTACTATGTCAAAGTTTGCAAATCTGAATATATAAACATATATTTTCCATTTTAAGGGAGATACATCTGGAGATTACAAGAAACTCCTACTAAAGTTCTGCGGTGGCAGTGACTGAAAAAGAAGCATTATCTACAGCATTAGAGCTGGTTTTATCTTCTTTTTTTTTTCGAGCTTTTTGTATGCTTTACACGCAAGTTGCAATCCTATACACTTCAATGGTTTTAATGCAAAGTTTACACAGCAGCATTTTTTTATGTATTGATCACAGAGCTTTGTATTTTCTGATTTGGGGTAAGTTTACTGGAGAGTGGAATGTATACAGCTATAAAGAATTATTTTTTTATAAGATTAAAACTCAATTTCAGCTACATATGTTCAATGAAAAATTACTTTGTGCCAATAAGACATTAAGTGTATTTCATTTTTGTCAGGGTTTTTTCATGTACTGAAAAGAAAAGGAAAAAAAGCACCAAAGTAAAAAAATAAGACAATCTTTGCAATTGCATGATCTACTCTGTAGTTTGAAGCACTTGTATATTTTTGTTTGTCATCATTTTATTGTTTATGATGTGCCTGCTATTGTTTTCTGTTTAACTCTGCAATACATTAAATAAATTCTGGTCATATATTCATGGAGCATAATATTGTTTGTTTATTCATCACAAATTATTAATTATTATTCAACAAGTACCAGTATTTTCGGGAGTTTCCCCTTGATTTATACATTTATAAAATGCAAAATGATTATTCTAAGATGGAAACGGCTCCAAAAAATAATCTTTGATCTGAAAAATTAGCAATCAGTTGTTAAATATTTGGTCTATATAAATAGACAAACTTTCAACTGTTAACCTTTTTTAAGTCTAAACTACCATATGTTTTTATATCTTAAAATAAAAAAGGCATAATTATGGATTTATTGAAGTACTATCCATAGTTTCATAATTGATGTAATCTTAATACTGTAGAAAGCTCTTTTCTCCAGCAGGGTGCAGCATAGTCCTTATGTCTCAGACTTAGCTGTCTATACCAGTGGTTCCCAAACTTTTTATCTTCTGACCCACAAAATATTC